GTGCTGCTGCTCTTGCTCTTGCTGCTGCTGCTGCTGCTGCTGCTGCTGCATTGCTTCTACGGAGCGCTCGAAGGCCTCCAGCTGCAGCGACAGCAGCTTCTGCAGCAGCGGCAAACACACAGGGAAAGGGGGGGCCCGGCAGCGGCCCTCAGCAGCAGCACAGAAGCCGAAGGGAGCAGCAAAGCCCCAGCACTGAGCGTCTTGCTTGCACTCCTGGCCTTCAAGTGCTTCGCATGCAACCTGCAGCAAATCCTGCTGCTGTTGCTGCTGCTGCTGCTGCTGCTGCTGCTGCTGCTGGGGAGAGTCTGCTGCAGCAAGAACCCCTACAAGCACTGGACGGCTCCAGGGGACGCAGACGTGCAGCGGAGACACCGCAGGCCCGATGCTAACAACGCCTGCAGCAGCAGCAGCAGTATCAGCATCTGGTGTTGCTGCTGCTGCTGTTGGTGTTTGTGCTGCTGCTGCTGCTGCTGCAGCAGCAGCAGCAACAGGCAGCACTGAGAAAGGGGGGCTGCAGACCTGGTTTATACATATCAAGCCGTGGCGGCACTCTGCTGCTGCAGCCCCCAAGCAAGCATCACCGAGCTCGCGCTGCGGGGAGCAGCCGCCTGCTGCAACAGAACAGTAGTAACCCTGAGCATAGCAGCAGCAACAGCAGCAGCAGCAGCAGCAACAGCAGCCGCAGCAGCAGCAGCAGCAACAGCAGCAGCAGCAACAGTAGCAGCAGCAGCAGCAACAACAGCAGCAGTAATCGCAGTAGTATACAGCAACAGCAGCAATAGCAGCGCAAACAATAGCAGCAGTAACACCAACAGCAACAGCAGCAGCAACAGCAGCAGCAACAGCAGCAGCAAGAGGAAGGCAAGGCAACCGACAGTCTGCTGCTTCTCTGCTTCATATTAACAGCAGCAGCAAACGGAGAACCTCAAGGGGGGGCCAGCGCCCTAGACTAGCAGCAGCAGCAACAGACAACGAGCGTGGCAGCAACAGCAGCAACAGCAGCAATGCTAGTAGCCGCGGCAGCAGCAACAGCAACAGCAACAGCAGCAGCAGCAGCAGCAGCAGCAACTGCAGCAGAGTGATGGGACTCACCTGCCTGCAGCAGATGCTGTCGCAGCCGGAGACGCCTCTGGGGTTAAGGCCCCCCTGCAGATGCTGAAAGAAAGAAGCGGGGTGGCTTGAAGACCCCTGCTGCTGCTGCTGCTGCTGCTGCTGCTGCTGCAGCTGCTGCTGCTGCTGCTGATACAGCTGCTCTCGTGCTTGCTGAGAGGCGTACGGAGAACTGCATTCACCCCGCGCAGCACTGAGGAGATCGCAGCCGGATTCGTTGTGCTGCTGCAGCAACT